TCACAGAACTGACTCAGCAACAGCGGAGTAAAACTGTTTCATCTGAGCATGTGGCACATTATCGTATCGCATATCGAATATCGCATTATTTAATGAGTTATCGCATATCGCATTTTTCTTCAATATCGCACAGCCCTACTGTCTACACTGGATGCGGCGCGGCGTGACAAATTCCCGACAGTAAACTGCTGCTGCGTTCTATTTATGAAGTACTGACACAAGTTTCAAATGATTTTGACGCGTCCAGACAGTGTAGACAGACTTTAGCTTTTAGACTTTAGACAACTGTCGCGTCCGGTGTAGACACGGTGAAAGGCGGAACGAAAACGTGCTAGTCATTTGAAGTAGGGATTGGCGAATCGATCCTGAAGTATGGATATATCGATACTGATGCGAGTATCGAAAGTATCGATACTCAAATAAAAAAATATCGATACTAAGGTGTTTTTATTTACCAGTGATTTTGTTTATTTAACAAAAAATAATGCGTACAATATGCATTAAATTGGACGAATAACCTATGTTAGCAAATAATTGTGTGGGAGGGATTTTCCTGCTCGTCTGAACACACGCAAATGTTGCAAGGCAGAATCAATCAATTACAGAGAGCGTTCACTCACTTCTGACCGTGCATTTAAATAGAGCTGCGTTCCCCAAAAGTTGCCTATAATAAGAAAGCATTGATGTTTTTGGGAACGGCAGCCCAGAACAATGCAGAAAAAACATATATGTTTGAGTTATTTCACAATAAACATATTGAAATTGAACCCTAGTTTGTGCAGTACGTTTATTTAAATTTGAATGTTAAAAGTTCATATTGCTCATGTTCTATTCTGTATTGTTAATATAAATCATACACTCTCTGAATAAAAAGGTCGCATTTTATGCATGCAACAGCCTATTACTGGCAGTCCCTTATGACAATGAACCATGGTTTTCCTAAAGTGACCATAGTTTAACTATAGTATTTGTAGATTTCCATGGTTACCACTACAGTAAACATATTTTAACCATGTGTAAACAAAAATATAACCTAATAAGTTGCAATTAAGGCGTATTGAATGTTAAAATGCATTTCAAATATAAAAGTAGGTATTATTATTCACTGTACTCCTAGTAATTTAATAATTTCATAAATTTCAT